AATCCAGGAACAACACCAGGCCTCCAAAAATGAACCAAGTGCAAAAGTTTGCACTAGCTTCTACAAGTTATCTCATCAAGGATCTAAAAATCCTTCATGGCCAAAGGCCTTGTTAATCCTTAATGAAAAAAAAAAAAAATTGAGAACCTTTTCAATTGGTCTCTCTCATCTCTTGTATTTAACAAGTAAACATGATATAATTTTGAATAATCATCAATAAAAGTAACATAATATTTCTTGCCACCAATAGTAGAGTACTATACATGTCACAAACATCACTATGCACAAGTTCAAGCAATTTAGAAACTCTTCAATCTTAGGAAAAAGAATTCTAGTAATTTTAGTAAGCATACATGTCCTGCATTGTGATTCATTTTGAGGCAAGATAGGAATTAATTCTAATTTAGACATCTCATGCATTGCCCTAAAATTAACACGTCTTAATTTATGATGCCATAAATTAAATGAGTCAAGAATATAAGCAGAAACAACACCATTATTATTAGTATTATTATTCATGTTCATCTTGAACATGCCCTCACAAGCATAGCCTTTTCCTACAAAAATCCCACCATTGGACAAAATAAATTTGTCTACCTCAAATACAAGTTTAAAACCAAATTTGTTCAACAAACTTCGTGAAACTAGATTTTTCCTGATATCTGGCACATAATGCACATCAGTGAGAGTGAGAACTCTTCTAAAAGTGAACTCAAGGTCCATGGTTCCTTTGTCTTTCACTTGTACTATTGCAAAATTTCCCACATATAGCACACTCCCTTCAAGTTTGGGTTTTAAAAGTCTTGAATAGACTTTTGTCCTTGTAAACATGCTTTGTGGCACCAGAATCTATCCACCAAGCAACGTCATCTTCCATGAGATTAATTTTAGAAATCACAACAATGAATTTGTCATTTGATGATGCTGGTGCTTTCTTTTCTTCTTGAGAAAATGACACTCATTTTTGAAGTGTCCAGTATTTCCACAATGGAAACATGCACCATTTTGCTTCTTAAATTTATAATTTTGCTTAACAGAGTATTCCTTCTTCTTGAAAGGCTTTTTGGGCTTGCTTGGAGTTCCTCCATCCAATACATGCACATCCAAGACTTGCACTATCTGCTCCTTTTCATTTTCTACTCTATATTACTCTTCAAGTCTCAAATAGTTAGCAAGATCTTCAAGAGAAATATCTTCCTTTTTATGTCACAATATTCTCTTGAAATCTTTCCATGCATGAGGAAGTTTATCAATTATTGAAGACACAACTATAGATTCATCCATCTTCATATCATATTGCTTGAAACTATTAAGCAATGTTTCAATTTCTCTAAATCGTTCCATGATTGATTCGTTATCATTCATTTTGTAATTATTCCATTTGGTCACCAAAAACTTTTTACTAGTTGCATCTTCATTCATACATCTTCTAACTTATCCCGCAATTCTTTTGCGGTAGACTCATGAACATAAGTATAAAAAAGGGAATCAAACATACCATTTAAGATGCAACCCATGTAAACATAATCATCATTCTCATTTTCCTCTGGTCGAGCATCAGTGAGAACATAAACAATGTTGAGAGTTGTGAGAAGGATGTGCATCTTGCGTTGCCATCGAATAAAGTTGCCTCCCATCAAAAAGTGATCTAACTTTTGGAAATCAGTAGTCATCTCACACAAAGTTGCAGCCATAAATGCAGAACAGAAAAATTAGCCTAAAGAGTAAAGATTGTTGGAGAAATAGGGTAGAATCTAGAACCAGCAGCAGGGGGAAGTTCCACAGAAGATGCAACTTAATTTTTCTGTGGAACCTTTTAGTGTGTTGTATTAGTTGATTTGATCTATGCAGGCCAAGGCAAGAAGGATATACAAAATAGCATGGACAAGCATCAGAACAGTGATACTTTGTCTGGCAAGAACAAGTAACGAAAAAGCGCGAGTCGAAGGGAAGAATGCCACAGTGACGAGAACCAAGAAGGCTTTGCCGCCTTTGTGATATGCATTGCTCAACGAAAGCAGCCTGATTTGATGGCGGGAATCGTGATATCCACGCAGCCAAATTTGCATCGTCAACAAAGCCTTTAGCAAAGCAATGTAGCAATTTTGGCACCAATAACTTCCCGTTGCTGCTAACTCCTACTGCCAATTTACCACTGTCCTTCAATAAAAATCATTTCTCTATGTTAATAGTGAAAAATAGATTAAACTGGGAACTTTTTTTTTTTTTTTCATAGAATAAAAGAAAATTAAACTGGTTGATTGAACAAGAAAAAGATGATTCCCTTTAAGTTTAGACTGGGCTTATATAATCCTTTTAGAATTGCAGTTCTGATTATAAAGATTTATATATTTTATTTCTAATAAAACTTATAATCTTGTAGAATTTCTCTCTAGTTTAAGGAAAGATGCGCCCAGCAGAGATTCATGCTCTGTTTAGGATCCCTTTGTTTCATCGTCTTGTTGAGTGTCCCCAATGTGTCCCACTACTTCTACGAGTCAATTTTTTGGCTATAACAATTTCCTAAAACCAAATAGTCAATTTGTTGGCTACAACAGTTTTCTTAAAACCGGCTTAATTTAAAAAATTATCTATTAACTATTACTCTTTTTTTATTTTAGTCTAGAATCTTTGTTTTCTTTCAAACTCATCTACTAACTTTCAAAATTGTTTCATTTTCATCTACCCCTATGCAACTCTGTTAACTATATTGACGGAACTTTCCAATTATAATTGTGTGGTGACATGAAAGCCACTGTGTGGCCCACTTAAGCTAACATGTGGCCTAAAAAATGAGAGGGAAATATTCTCACTTCCTTATTTAAGGTTAAATGCTTAATTTAAAAAATGGGTAGTAATTTAGGGATAATTTTTTTATATAATTTTTGGTATAATTTTTTATATAACTTTTATATGTCAATAAATAAATAAATGTACTTAATATCACAAGTTACAAATGAGTAAAAAATGTCAATTATTTAAATAACATATAAAATTGTACAAAAAATAGTATAATTTTTTTTGGAGGGATATATCCCTACAAATAGTGACTTTTCAAGTATTATAAATTTCTATGCAAAGTCAGAGTTTTAGATCTAATTCTGAGAGAGTTTTGTGTTCTGTTGTATTATGGTAGATTTTAAACCCTTAAGGAAAATGACATAACGCTTGAGAACAATTCTTTTATTCTTTTTCTATTTCATATTTTCCAACAATCTTAAGGATTTAAAATTCCTTATGGCTCTTCCTATAAATGCCAACATCAAGTTGCTAAATCCAAATGCAGTTAGATTGAACTCAAGCCTCTAAAGAAAAACAGTGCTTTCAAGAAAGCTTCTTTCAAGAAAAGTCAACCTTGTTACCATTGTGGTGAGAAAGGTCACTTCATTAAATATTGCAAATTCAGGAATAATGCAAGGAACTTTGGTTCTGGCACCAATGCAGAAACAAGCAACAAGGCAAATTTGATTGAGCATGAATTGGTTGCTATGGTTTTTGATATGCAAGTCAAGATGGTGACTGAATTGAACATGGCAAATCCAACCAAGTCTATGGATTGGTGGCTGGATTCTGGTGCAACAATTCATGTGTGCAATAACAAAGCACAATTTAAGTTTTATGAAGATTTGAAGGAACCAAAGGAAGTGCTTATGGGAAACAATGTCACTGCAAAAGTTCTAGGCAAAGGCACAGTGGAATTAAAGTTCACTTCGGGCCACAAATTGACCTTGGTTAATGTTTTCCATGTGCCTGATATTAGAATGAACTTGGTGTTTGTAAATCTGTTATGTAAAAGGTGCTTGAGGGTTGTCTTAGAATCATACAAGGCCATTATATAAAAAAATGGCAACTTTGTGGGGAAAGGTTATTCTTGTGATGGAATTTTCAAATTGAGTATTAATGAAATAAATAATGTTTCTGCTTATATTGTTGAGTGTTCTTCTACTTTATGGCATGCTAAACTAGGACATGTGAATTATGAATCATTAAAATATATGTCTAAGCATGGATATTTAACTTGTTAAAATGATTTTAAAAATAAATGTGAAATTTGTATGCAAGGAAAGATGACTAGAAAACCTTTTCCAAAAAGAGAAAGAAATACAAAAATGTTAGAGTTAGTGGATTTTGATATTTGTGAATTAAATGGTCATCTTACTGGAGGAGGTAAAAGATACTTTATAACATTTATTGATGATTGTTCTAGGTATACATGTGTATCTTATAAGAACAGAAGATGAGGCTTTTGACAAGTTTAAAGAGTATAAATATGTTGTGGAAAATCAGAAAGATAAGAGAATTAAAGCTCTTCATAGCAATAAGGGTGGTGAGTATTTTTCAGATATGTTTTCACAATTTTGTGAAGAACATGGCATCATACATCAAAGAACAACCCCCTATTCACCCCAACAGAATGGTTTGGCAAAAAGAAAAAAATAGAACTTTGGTTGACATGGTTAATTGCATGTTGATAAATTCAAAGTTGCCATTTAATCTTTAGCGAGAGGCACTTCTTTCTGCCAATCATGTTACCAACAGAATTCCATCAAAGAAAACTTATGTTTCTCCATATGAGACTTGGAATAATGGTAAAAGGCCAAATTTGAATTATCTCAAAGTGTGGGGGTGTCTTGCCTTTTATAAGGTTCCAGACCCACAAAAAACAAAATTTTGACCTAGAGGCATTAGAAGTGTATTTGTTGGTTATGCAATTAATTCTAAGGCCTATAGGTTACTAGATTTAGAGTCAAATGTTATAGTAGAATCTGTACATGTTGAGTTCTTTGAAGATAAGTTTATTAAAGACTCTTCTCCTATGTTTGATTTTGGAAATTCTTTGAATAATTCAATGCATGAAAATCATAATGGTACAAGTACAAGTACACTTCATGAGGAGAAAATGAAAGAGAATGATGGTTCAATTAACCAAGAAGAAGTACAAGGATTAGGAGAGAAAAGTCTTTTGATCCTGATTTATTTCTTCTCAATCTATTGTCTTCCTAGTTGAAGCAACCAGAACTAAAATAATTCAAAAAATACCCTTGGTATTAAATGTTGAAGAAGATCCAAAAACATTTCAAGCAGCAATGGCTTCAAGGGATGTAGCCTTTTGGAGAGAAGCTGTGAATGATGAGATGGACTCTATTATGTCCAATAATACTTGGATTTTAGTGGATCTTCCATATGGTTCTAAACCAATTGGTTCTAAATGGGTATTTAGACGAAAATACAATACATATGGAACAATACAATCCTTCAAACCAAGGTTGGTTGCAAAAGGTTTTACTCAAAAGGAAGGAATAGATTATTTTGACACATATGCTCCGTTGCAAGAATAACATCTATAAGAGTTCTCTTTGCATTGGCTTCGATTTATAAGCTATTTGTGCATCAAATGGATGTTAAAACAACATTCTTGAATGGTGACTTAAGTGAGGAAGTATACATGGAACAACCAAAAGGCTTCATACTTCCTATAAATGAAAGAAAAGTTTGTAAATTAGTTAAGTCACTATATGGCCTAAAGCAAGCTCCCAAGCAATGGCACTAGAAATTTGATACACATATTCTGGCAAATGGATTCAAGCATAATGATGCAGATAAGTGTATCTATTCAAAGTTCACTAAGGATTATGGAGCTATAGTATGTCTCTATGTTGATGACATGTTGATATTTGGTACCAACATGTTAGGAATAAATGAAACCAAAAAGTATTTAACTTCAAGATTCAAAATGAAAGATTTAAATGAAGTAGATACTATTTTGGGTATTAAAGTAAAGAGACATGATCATGGCTTTGTACTTAGTCAATGACATTATATAGAGAAGATGTTGAATAAATTCCAACATCTTAATATAAAGGAGGCCCCTACTCCATATGATCCTAGTATGAAGTTGACCTTAAACCTAGGTCATATTGCTGCTCAATTGGAATATGCAAGTGCAATAGGGAGTTTAATGTATGCCATGCATTGTACTAGGCCAGACATAGCCCTTGCAGTATGCAAATTATCAAGATACATAAGTAAACCAAGCCATGAACATTGGAAAGCTATTACAAGAATTCTTGGTTATCTTAAAAGGACAAAAGAGCTTGGTTTGATCTACTTAGATTATCCAGTGGTCCTAGAAGGATACACTGATGCAAGTTGGATCACTAGTAAAAGTGATAACAAATCTACTTCGGGTTGGATCTTTACACTTGGAGAAGGTGCAATAAGTTGGGCATCAAAGAAACAAACATGCATCTCACATTCTACAATGGAATCTAAGTTTATTGCTTTGGCGGCAATAGGCAAGGAAGCAGAATGGTTGAGAAATTTATTGCTTGATATAAAGTTGTGGCTACAACCTATGCTAGCCATTTCCTTGCACTATGATAGTGAGGCTACAATGTCTAGAGCATATAACAATATTTATAATGGGAAATCTAGACATATTAGTCTTAGACATACTTATATTCGAGAGTTGATCACTAGTGGAGTTATAACAATAATCTATGTAAAGTTTGCAGACAATCTAGCTGATCCTCTCACAAAAGCACTACCACGAGATGTGGTGGAAAGGATGTCATTAGGAATGGGGCTTAAACATTTAAACTAGGCATTGGTAATGGGAACCCAACTTTTATTTAGTCATTTCTAAATTTAAAGTTTAATGGGTAAGAACAAGTTACTATATATGCCTGTTTAGCACTTGAAACCTATTCCTACTTTAGTCAAGTGCCGTCTGTTGCGTTTTGGAGGATGAGTGTAAACTCTTAATGGAGTTGATCATTTTTAAGTGTCTATAGCAATAGGGACATAAAGAACTCCTCCTAAATGGTCATAGAAGTGGTGCCGCTTCAACAAGAAGATGTTGGATTCTCTTGTAAATGACCATTATTAGCAAGATGAGCACATGGCCATAATAGTGCTAAAAGGTTTTAAACCTCTTGGATTAGATAGACAAGTCTTATGTGTGTCACACACTTATGCCTAATATAAGTAGTTATGGTTTAATCGTTGGACACCAATAACTTCATTAGATATGAAGCATGTACACTAATGGAAGGTTTAAATCGAGAGATACCTTCTTTAAGCATATTTCTTATTGACTAAAACTGAATTAACATTTCCAAACTAGTGGGAGAATGTTGAATAGTTTGTAAATGTTTAAGATCCCACATTGAGAAAGTACGAGAACTTAAAAGAGTTTATAAATGCCTATTATTTATCAACAAATAATTAAGTGATATGAAACCCAAGGCAAATTGGGCCTTGCCCCTTTATATATAGTCAAAAGATGGGCACTTGGGCACTCGGGGCACCTTGGGGCTTGACTGCTAGAGCATTAATAATTTTTTTTATTTTTGGATTTTTTATTTTATTTTATTAAATTAAAACTTGGAAAGACATATTTAAAAATCAGACATAGCTTTTGATAATCAAAAGGTATCTCTTCATAGTGTCTTTTTGGAAGGATACATCTCTACAAGTGTGACTTTCAGGCATTATAAATTCCTATGTAAAGTCAGAGTTTTACATTTAATTCTGAGAGAATTTTGTGTTCTGTTGTATCCTGAAGGATTTTAAACTCTTAAAGAAAATGAGATCACGTCTCAGAACAATTCTTTTATTCTTCTACTATTTCATATTTTCCAACAATTGTCACTGCCAAAGGAAAACAGTCAACCATCTGCTGATCATCTTATCAGTCGCATATATTATGTCACTGCGGACCAACTTGACGAGCTTCAATCTCTAGCGAGCCGCGGTGGGTCCAAAAGGACCAAGCTTGAGTCTTTCAGTGCTTTCTTATGGAAAATGGTGGCGATTTCGACCGCAGGAGATAGCACCAAGACGTCCAAGATGGAGATAGTGGTGGATGGAAGGACTAGATTAAGTGAAGGATGTACGGATAAAGATTCACAAATGGGTACATGTTTTGGAAATGTTCTGTCAATTCCCTTCGGCAGCGAGAAAGTGAAGGAACTGATTGAAAAGCCTCTGTCTTGGGTGGCAGAGGAGGTCCATGATTTCAAAAAAAATGCAGTAACAAAGGAGCATTTCTTAGGCCTGATTGATTGGGTTGAGGCACACCGGCCGGAGCCGGCTGTGACAAAGATTTATGCAAGTGGGAACAACGAGGGACCCGCATTCGTCGTTTCCCCTGGACAACGTTTCCCTGTTTCGAAGGTGAATTTCGGGTGGGGCCCGCCAACGTTCGGGTCGTATCACTTTCCATGGGGAGGGAGTACTGGATACGTGATGCGGATGCCAAGTCCGATGACGAATGGCGACTGGGTGGTGTATGTGCACCTCCCGGTGAGACAGGTGGAGTTCATAGAGACTGGGGTGGCCGATGTGTTTAAGCCTCTAACTTTTGATTATCTATTTATCTTGATTTGGTGCAAACATCTTTATAATTTACGGCTAGAAATTTTCAGGCGAACTTTATAAATATCTTTAAAATATGGCCCCTGTATTGTTATACTTTGTTCGTATTGGTATACTTTGTATACAACAATCACAGTTGTTGTTCAATATATTATTGGTGTTATTAGCTCTTAATTATTTCCATTTTTTCTTTTCGTGTTTTCACGGTTTCAATTATTTAAGACACATTTGTGATTTGTTTTATAATCTCGATTAGATATGATGTCTCTAACTTAAATTTTAACTCTATATCCATAAATGATATTTTTTACTGTGAAATTCATTTTTAATTTTATACTTATCATGTTTAGTTTGATAAAAATAAATAATCATTTCAATCTCATGATTTTAATTCTATATCTTTGTGTTTGTTTTGATTAAATTTTTATGGAATTCATTTGAAGTCTATTGTGTTTAATTTGGTTTGATTTAAAATTACACAATTAAATTCTAAAATTATAAATTATAGAATTAAGCTAAACTAGACAAAATTTTATCCAAATTGATAGGATTTGCAAATAAATTCCATATTTAATTTATTTTTGTAAATAAAATAAATTTTATTTCTATTTAAACCAAATATAGTAAAAAATTTTAAAACTTGAAAAATTATTTTCAAATTAAATTCTTAAAATTTATTTAGAAATAAAATGAATTCTACTTTACTTGTGTCCCAAACACCGCCGTATGAAAAACATGTAGAAACAAACTCACTGTATATGAAAAACATAAATTATCATTGAGCGACATATCACACATGGATAAATATCCAGCCTACATACACCGATTTGTGCAGTCCAACGCCGTTCCTCCGCTCAGGAAAAACAGAAGAAACAGATTAAAATAAATATTCTACTCAACCCTTAGAATTAGATTTACTAAGTAAAACCCTATTGTCGGCAGCTCCAATGTTTCAGTTTTATGTGAATACTTATAAAAATTAATTTTTTTAATTTTTTTAACATATACCCACCTTTTTTATTAATTAACATAAAAAAACAAAAATTGAAATTAATTTTAACAGTTGTGTAATTGAATTCATTAAAGTGACAATAATATTAAAATTAATATTAATTTTTATTTTTTTATATAAATTGATAAAAAAAAATACAATAAATACAAAAACATATATTAAAAAAAAAAACCCTTTTAATATTAGATACTTACTCTGTCCTAAATATTACACGTTATAGCAGCACTTTACCAAGATTAAGAAAAACAATTAATGCCTCTTAATTTCAACGAGAATCATACTCAAAGTACAATTTTACCCTCTGTCCCCCACTCCTCAAGCTTTATGGCTTTAATTCTGTGCGCCATT